CCTGGTTTACTTCATAAGATTTATTCACTACAAACTTGTTTCGTATGACAAGCAATGCTTGCCACACTCATCAGGTGAATTTTAAAAAACAAATTCACCTGATGAGTGTGGCAAGCATTGCTTGTCATACGAAACAAGTTTGTAGTGAATAAATCTTATGAAGTAAACCAGGTTTATTATATATATATATATATATATATATATATATATATATATATATATATATATATATATATATATATATATATATATATATATATATATATATATATATATATTTTCATCCTGCTCATCAGCACTACACTGATGAGGCCCAAAAGGCCGAAACGGTACCGTCTGTAGTTAGATATTGCTCTATGGCCTTTATGTCATATTGAGCACTCTAACAGGATGAGCCATTGCTGCTTACGCATTGTTCGCATGCTCACTGCTTGCAGTTTGAGCGCTCTGGCAATGGTTTGATGTCCCACATTCGTGAGATATCAAAGGTAACTATTTATAGTGGTTTCTTTCATCCTGCTCATCAGCACTACACTGATGAGGCCCAAAAGGCCGAAACGGTACCGTCTGTAGTTATATATATATATATATATATATATATATATATATATATATATATATATATATATATATATATATATATATATATATATATATATATATATATATATATATATATATGTTTATTATATGGATATGAGTAAAATACCGTAAAATACGCCACTGATATTTCCCGTATTTCACTATAGTGAAATATGAAATCATATCTTACGCGGGAACGTCTCGCGCGGGACCCACGCTAATTCCGGCCATTTTGCCGTTTCTGTTTTAAATATACAATATGGTAACTTCTCGACATTTTGTTGATGTTTCCGACCCTGATTTGGCAAGGTTTTCTGAAGAAAGTGAAAATGAAAACACAAAAAGGAAAACTAAGTCCGATTTGGCGATCTTCAGCGACTATTTAGCCTCGATAAACGAGCGGAGAGACATAAAATTGTTGCCATACTGTTAGCTACAAAACATCTTGATGAAATTTATTTTGGCCATATAATAAAAAGAACATTTCACGGTGGCTTTGGAAATATTACTTTTATTTTCTCGCGTCGAAAACAATATTTTACTCACTCGCTGCGCTCGTTCGTAAAATATTGTTTTCACCACTCGAAAATAAAAGTCATATTTCCGCGCCACCGTGAAATATCCTCTATTTATATATATATATATACATATATATATATATGATAGTTTTGGAGTTGAAGCTGGTCTAAAATTCTTTTTAAAATACTAGAATATGTACAATAAAAAGTCTAAAAAGTTCTAAATTTTCGGTTGCTAACTGCAACCTTCATCAGAGTACTAAGAGCAGTTCGGATAGTTCAAGGTTTTTAAATATCGTCATTATTGCCACATGATTGCACAAGCGATAAATACATGCGTGGGAATTCTTTGTGTTTGTTAATTGTTTTATTGTCTAATATTGAATGCATCGACTCGAGGAACGTTCGTTTTTCTAAATTATGTACTCTTTTCTCTAAGATTGTAGCATTGTTAATAGAGGCATTGTGTCCTGTGCTTTCTGCGTGGTCTTTGATTGCTGACTTAATCTCCCGTCTTACGCCTGGTTTGTGTTCTGCCCAACGTGATTTCCACGACCTCTTACTTTCTCCAACATACTTAAATGAGCAATCTGGACATTCAAATTTATAAACAATGCCTTTAATCTCCGTGATCTTCTGCTTGTCTTTTGGTTTACCAAAAATGTCCCCTAAGCTTGGCATGGGTTTATATATTGTCTTAGTTCAAATTTGTGCGGATTTCTATTGTTCTCAACAGGGTTTTATTTGGGTAAGATTCTTAAAGCAAGGGGAGGGATTTGATATCTCTCCAGGGAAAAGTGGGGTTGATGAATAGAATTGAATTAATAATTATAAATTCACGGGTTTTATCTATATAAACCCCGGCTTTATATAGATAAAACCCTAGGAAAGCCGGGTTTTATACAGATAAAACCCGATGCAGAAATGCACCGACTTACTGCTTTTACACACACTACAATCAAAACATTACAAAAGTTAATAATTACACTGACAATGTACCGTATACTAGACATGTACCAGTTGTTCCACTCTGTCCCTAACACGCTATAGCTATATATTTCGTACGATAAAACTCAAACTCAAATTGTTCAAATTAATAGAAGTTAAAAAGAACTTCCCTCCGGCATTTCTAGCCGTGCTCTCTTCCTTTCCA